AAGGGAGTACAGGAGCTCATTTGGGCAACTTTACAGTCTGAGGAGGAATATTTGTATATATAGTAAACTTACAACATTGACATTTTATGGAGGATGGGGGAGATTTTGGATCTTACTCATTGTGTTAATTTCAAAGGCTCTTATAAATAATTTTAATCTTCATGTAAAATAGGAGTTAGCTGCCCCTCTTTGTTCTTGAACTTTTGCATCATTATGGTCTTACTATGGTTTGGAAGTAATGAAGGAAAAAAAACTGTTTTGATTTTAGTTTCATACTATATAATGAGCATATCAAAAGAATGACCCCCTTAGAAGGTTTAATTTCAGTTTCATACTATTTAATGAGCATATCAAAAGAATGAGCCACTTGGAAGTTTCACCAAAGCAGAGATCCCACACAAAAAAGTCCATTTCTGTTCTAGAGCAGTTTCAGAGCCTAACCCAATTCTGGTGGTGTTTTCCCCACTTTAGGCCAAGAGACCAGCTGGGGATTGGGCAAGAGGGAAATGAGAAGCACTGTGAAGCTATATTTTCTTGGCTCTGTAAAGGTTTAGCAGCAGTAACTGAGACTCATACAAGGCTTTAACCCCATTTTGAGGGCCTGTTGTTCATGAATAACTGCACCCAAAGCCTTACTAGCAAACCACTTTTGGGATCAGTTCAGAGTGGCAAAAATAGATGCCTATAGTCAGTATATTGATTTTGCAGTTGCATGAGCAAAAATTTTAGATAATACTGGAAATGTATTTATAAGACCTATAAAGCAACAAACCTACATGATTTATAAGTTGTAGTAACTACTTTAGTATAATTAGTTTTCAATGGTCACACTAGTCTTCTGTGTCCGGGATCCTTAGACAGCAACGGTGAGTGTCTGTCAGCAACAGAGCGGGATCGGTCACACTATGCAATGCCCCCCGTGGAGAAACATTGCCCCAGAAAAGACTGCAATAACCTCATGGTTGAACTACACATTGAAGATAAGCCTAGAGTCATGGTTATGGACCGATAATGACTAAAGTTGGGAGGAAGCAAATACTTTAACTGAAATCGAGTAAAATGTTAGTAAGTTGATCATGAGGCAGCCTTGACAGCCATACGATTCTACCCCATTCAAAGCCAAGTTTGTTGTTCATTTCATCCAGTATTGTGATTTTTAACTTTCTGCAATCATGACATTTGAGGATGGTATTTCGTAATTATTCTATGGCTCGCACTTTGTCCACCAGGGCGTAAATAATGTCTTACGGGAGCTAGCGTCTTCAGCGTGTCTGAGTGGGTGTGTATTTTGCATTCCTTGGTTAAGTAAACATTTGTCTGGATAATCTGTAAAATTTTAGTCCGGCTTCATTGCTGACTCTGATATATATTACCTATTTCTAGAATACCATTGGATCTAGCATGATATAATAATCACCATTTAGATAACCATGTAATAATTATCTTGTAATTATACTACAGTTTTTGTTTTTGCACCATCGTTCCCTCTCTAGTTGGAACATTAGGCAGGGTTTTTCATCTCGGTTCCCTTCACGGCTGGGGAAGTATCTCACTCTGTAAAGGGATCCATGAACAGAGTGGACTAGTGTGACCACCACTTAAATGAATTCCTCATTCTAATTAAACCTCTATATTAATATGAATAGTATAATATATGAACATTGATTACCAGACAATTGTCTATGTATATAATAAAAGATATATAATATTCATTAGGCCTAATAATATCATTGTAAGGAATCAAAAGTATTGAAAGAAAAGTGGCACTTACAGATTTTTGTTTTCCTTCATAGGCATTGGGGTAGTATTGACCTGTGAAATCTAATGATGACTGTCTTTTGAAGTATTGATTGAAATCAGTTCTTACCCACATTGTGTTTACACAGTGCTTAGTCTCCAAGGACTCAGTTACTAGTCCTACCTGCTTCAGTTCGTACTCTTTTCCTTGACTTTTGGAAAGTTTCATTCATTTTATTGCCATTTTATAGTTTAATAACATGATGATAATCGTAATGTCAGTAACAGTGATGGTAAGTATCACAAAAAGCTAGTGGGCTGCCCATGTACTTGAACTTAATTCGTATCTGTATATAAAAGGGTTGCATTTATGAGAAGATGAAGGACCATGCTTGACCTAGATTATAATTTGATGATATATCTGAATATGCACAAGTAGGCATTTTATTCTTATTTTGCGATGCGACCATAGTAACGTGATGAGTTTTTTCTTTCCCTTTCCATATCTAATGTAATGATAGTGTTGTTTAATATTTGTAGCAATGGATATTCATTATAGAAATTAAGGTATGCTGTGGTGAGAGAAGGTAATATTGTTATGAGAGTGTTCAGTTGATTTGATTGTTGATGTTTCTTAAATATTTAGATATTGTATGTATTACATAAGACTCGGGTGGTATTTTGTGTTCCAGAGTTAAATTGTGAATGATATGGAGTTGTTATATTCATATTTTACCTTTAGCATTTTAAGTTTTATTTTTATAGGTATTTTATTTAGAATCTATTTACTGATTGATCTACTATCCGGTGTAATGTACATAATGAAAGTTTGAAATTGATTAAGGATAGTTTTAGTTGAAAAATCTGGCCTTTTGATTTATTTGGTTTTTGATTACCTTGCATGTTATTTTTAGTTAATTCTAAAATTGCTTAATTATTTATGCTGAATATGGTCCAGAGTACATATTTACATATATACATATGCATATACATGTGTGTGTGTGTGTGTGTGTGTGTGTGTGTGTGTGTGTATGTGTGTATATATATATATATATATATATATATATATATATATATATATATATATATATATATATATATATATATATATATATATATATATATATATACATATGTTACTGTATTTATGTACTACTGGTATATATAATTTTATAATTTACTAAAATCATACATTAAGTTTATCAGTAGCATGTATTAGATTAGTTCCTCTCTAATGTCATAATGATTTCCTCTGAATTTTTAAACCTTCTGATTTTAAAATAGAATTTCTTGTATAATGAATGACCCTCTAAAGTTGGTAGAACTACATTGTGTTGTATTCCTTTCTTCCCGCTAGCAGTAACCACAGCTGGTCAGAGGACAGACAGGGTGCGGGACCCCTTCCTGGCCTGTCCTTCCCCTATACACCTGTCAGCCACTCCTGAGGAAGACCCCCATCCTTCTGCTTTATCTGTTTCTTCTGATGCTCTCCTGTCTGGTGTGTCTCCTGTCCCCCCACTCTACAGCGACTCTTACTCCTCTCTGATGGGCACTAATGGTGACGGATACGGGGCCTCGCTTCTCACCCAGAACAATCCTCTTTACCGGTCGTACGATGAGGTCAATGGTTCCTTAGACAATATCACGGGGGGGAGCTACGAACGGGACTCCTTGGATGGGGCTGTGGTTGATGACGGGGAGGCTGATATTGACAGTAGTGAGAGCGATAGCAGAGGCTACGCTGATGACGAGGAGGACAATGGGCAAGCTGAGGGCTGCATTGGCGAGCTGTTGAACGGGCACTGGACCCCCTTCTCGCATCCTGGGGGCCATTCTCGCACAAAGCACGACAGCAGTAAAAGCGATGTTCCCAAGCCCCTTGGTAGGAAGTATTCCAGTGGATTTAGTAGTAATAGTGATTTGTCTGAAGAAGATGATGACAGATTTGCTGACTATGATGAGGTCTATGACCCCAGTGTAAGTCACTTTGCAAGCCAGCTTTCAAAATCCTTGAGAGAGAAATTACTGAATCCTAGAGTGAAGCAGGAAGAAGAGAGGTTCCAGAAGCTGAATGTGACTCACCCTCCCCTCAAAAGCTCCGTATCTGCCCTTCCTCCAACTTCCCCTGCCTTCTCTAAACAGAACTCTGGGGGTGCTCGCTCACTGCTTGTGAGAACACTTACGCTGCCCCTCAAGTATGCTGCACAGCACCGCCACAGCCTCACCAAGGTCTTTTCGCGCTCGCAGCCAAGCACACCTGAGCTCCCTCGAAGGAACCAGGTAACAAGGAGCTACATGAAACCTGATCAGATAAGCCAGGGATTTGTTGACTCTCCCTGGGCCTGCACATCAGAGACAAAGAGCACTTCAACACAAATGGGTTCCTCAGAGGCTAAGAAAGGGCGAGGCCAGAACTCTAAAAGAAAGACCTCTCATGCGAGAAAGGGCACGGCTGGAAAGCCTCCAAAGCCTCCAGCTCCGCATCATAAGCCAGTGACCCGCAAGAGCACGACCTTAAATCGGCAGGTTTTCAAGAACCCTTTCCCAACCCAGGTCTCAGCTCCTCAGCCCCACAATGCATTGGATGATTGGCCTTCAGACCCATGCAACAATCCAATCCTAGAGCCTTGCGCTACTTGTGCGCGAAATGTTGCTGCCAACATCCAGCATGCGTCCATATGGGGAGAAGTGGAGAACCTCCCCAGAGGATATCTGTCAAATATTGAGGAAAATAAGATGGTTGAATATAAGAGGAAGCCATCAAAGGAAGACTGCAAATTGCAGTGAATGATGATCTTGTGAGCAAGTGTTGCCTCTGTATCAGATTGTTGGAATATGGACAATATAGTAGCTTCTGAATAACCTCTCATTGTTATCTAACCACCCAAGTGAATCTTGTAGAGATCATTGTCATTGTAGTAGTATTTTTTACTTTAAAAGTTATTAATACCCATTTTAAACTGCTCATAATCTAGCTTTAACCACAGTATATGATTATTTTCCCCTGATGGTGAGCAGCGTATGAATTAACCTTTACTTACATCTATAACAGCCCAAGTTACAATAACCATATCAGTGCAGTTATTTTGGTTCCATAGGTTTATTGTCTTCTTGCAGGTGGTGGTCTATGGGGTAGAGTGTTCATCCACTATTTTCTCCATTTGTTCCAATTGATTTTAGAGCAGATGCAGTAAATATTCTGCATGTTGTAACCAAGATCATGTGGCATTAACCAGTTCTTTTTTCTCTCCTTCTCTTTCTAG